TCCTCTCCTAAGTACTTCGAGTTTTTTTCTTTTGTGTGGTACTTGGCTTGAAATCAAGGCTTCAAGCTCCCTCACACTTGGCTCTTTTCATTCATGCCTAGCTGGTGCTCTACCACTTGAGCCACACCTTCACTTCTGGCATTATTTTTCTGGTTAAATGGAAATGAGAGACACATAGATTTTTCTCCCTGAGCTGGCTTCAAACCATGATTCTCAGATCTTAGCCTTCTGACCACCAGGGCAATCCTTTCTGTTTTCTAGAAAAGAATAATTTAAATTATCCCTACTTTGGGGATGGATATTTGGTTACGTCTTGATTTGTGAGGAGGATACTTATCTGGTCCCCCAAACAAGTTTTCATCTCAATATAAAAGGCATGATTCTTTTTTTTTAAGTTGTGATTTTTATATGATATTCTTTCTTATACAAGTTTTAAATTGCCCCTGAAGTCATGTCTGAAATTAAAAGAGTTTTTCTTTTTTTAAATGGTAGGGATTGAATTCAGGTCCTTGCCCTCATCCAGCAGGCATTCCATACTTGATCCATGTTCTCAGTCCGTTTTTGCTTCACTCTCCCAGCTAGCCTGTGCTGCTTATGCTTCCACATGCATCTGCGGATAACAGAGTAGTGCCCAGTATCCAAGCCATTGGTTGAGATGGAGTGTCATGACTTTTTTTTCTTCTATACTGGCCTCAAACTGCAGTTACTCCATCTTTGCCTCTCAAGTAGCTGGGATTACAGACTTGAGCCACTCAAAGATATTTAAGCAACTTGCAGCATTAGGATGAATTTATGGTCTTTCAAGCTTACAACTTCTTTTACAATATTCAACTGACTCTCACAATGCTGGTTATGTCAACATTAAAGTCATTTTTAAACTAAAATCTCATGATTCAGGCCACATCTAATTTTTTCTGTTACCAAAAACATTACTATTCTCACCAGACTTGTCTAAATAGTCATTGTTTATTTGCAGAAATCAAACTTACTCTCAAAGAGCAATGTCTTACTGTCAAAAGGAATATTCAAGAGACGATGTGTCACTGCTAATCTTTTTAGAACACAGCAAGTCAGTGAATTTAGAAGTGAATTTAAAAATCTAATAGGCAAAGGAAAACTCACAGAGGGAAATCATGTGCCAGAAGTTGTAGAGTATGGCAGGGCTGGATCTAGAGCCAGATTTCCAGATGCTGGTCCATTCTTTGTCCTTTGTTCCACAGAGATGTCTGATACTGTTTAGCTGATTATAGTTTAAACTTTCTTCAATATAATTTTTTTTGGGGGGGGTCCGGTCGTGGGGCCTGAACTCTGGGCCTGGGCGCTGTCCCTCAGCTCTTAAGCTCAAGGCTAGCACTCTACCACTTCAGCCACAGCACCACTTCCGGCTTTTTTCTTTTTGCTTATGTGGTGCTGAGAAATCGAACCCAGGGTCTCATGCATGCAAGACAAGCGCTGAGCCACCTACCACTGAGCCACCTTCCCAGCCCCCCTCAATATAATTTAATGCTTCACCAATCTATAAATTTCTTCCTTGCTACCATGACATATGAGTGTTGGCCTTCTCAGTCTTGTAAGCAAGTCTAATAACTTCATGGGTGTGTAACTTGTGCAGTCATGTAAGGCCTTTAAGCCACGATTAATGGGCCCCAGTCTTTGATTAATGATATCTTAACACTATCTGAAATTAGCTTTAAAAAATAGTCTAGCCAGGCACTACAATCTCATACCTACAATCTTAGTTATTGGGAGGCTGAAATCTGAAGATTGAGATTTGAGCCAGAGAAAACTCTTATCTCTACTTAATGCACAAAAGGCCAGAGGTAGCAGTATGTCTCAAGTGTGAAAGCACTAGCCTTGAGTGAAATAGCTAATTGAGAGTGAGAAGTCCTGAATTCAAGCCCACTAAAAAAAAAAAAAGCAAGCACCAGGCGCTGGTGGTTCATTCCTGCAATCTTAGCTACTCAGGAGGCTGAGATCTGAGAAACAGTTCAGAGCCAGTCCAGGCAGGAAAGTCCATGAGACTCATCTCCAATTAACTACCAGAAAACAAGAAGTGGCACTGTGGCTCAAGTGGTAGAGTGCTTGTTTTGAGCTGAAGAACTGAGGGACAGCACCCAGGCCCAGCATTCAAGCCCCAGGACTGACAAAAAAAAAAAAAAAGCACAAGCATGTACACATATACACACAACATTGGCAGCTCAAGGAATTAAATCCAGTACTTTAGGCATGCTAGGCAAGTGCTCTCCTGCTGAGCTATGTGTCCAGCCCAAAATTCTTCATTTTTCACAGGCCCAGATAAGTAGGTAGCTTGCCTATAATTTTCAGCCTGGGAGATAGGAATGAGGAGGTTTCTTCCATTACTCTTCACCGGTCTGTAGACAAGGCTGATGAAAGTTTTCTTGTGGAGGCCAACTCTGTTTATATATTCATTCAGATAAATATTTTCTTTTAAATTACCTTCATGTACCAGTGTCAGTGGCTCATGCCTGCCGTTCAAAGCCAGCCTGGGCAGGAAAGTCCAGGAAATTCTTGTCTCCAACAAACCACCAGAAAACCAGAAGTGGCGGTGTGGCTCAAGTGGTATTGTGCTATCCTTGAGCTGAAGAGCTGAGGGACAGCACCCAGGCCCAGAGTTCAAGCCCATGACCAACAACAAAAAAAAAAATTACTTTCATATGTGGTTCATAGTTAAGGAATGAGACAAATGCTCTAAGATCAAATGTTGGTTTCTTATTGGAGATCGGAATTTGTCAAATTATTTTATTTTATTTTGTTTTGTTTTATTTTTTGTTGGTCGTGGGGCTTGAACCTGGGGTCTGGGTGCTATCCCTGAGCTCTTTTTGCTCAAGACTAGCAATCTACCATTTGTGCCACAGCACCACTCCCAGGTTTCTGGTGGTTAATTGAAGATAAGAGTCTCAGGGACTTTCCTGTCTGGGCTGACTTCGAACTGTGATCCTCAGATCTCAGCCTCCTGAGTAGCTAGGATTACAGGCATGAGCCACCAGCACCCAGATAACTTTTGTCTTTTATAGAAAGGACAATAGTTACTTACCATTATATGTTCCTTGATCTATTTGCTTAAATAGAAATTCTGTTTTGTAGTGCTTAAGATTTTTTACTGTGAAAAAGTCCCATAAATTCCTAGCATCTTTGTCACAAATCAAATATGACTATAAATCAGTTTTTGTGCCCTTCAAGTATGTGTCAAATTACATCTGGTATTTTATTTCTGTAAGTCCTTGTTTTCTGTTATAAAGCAGTGGCATGCTTACTTAAACAAAAATCAGATGTCACAGATATAATATGAAAAGTGCATGTTTCTATTTCATTCCCCTCAATTCCATTCTTTAAGGGACAGTCACTATTAAAATGTTCATAGATCTCCTCCCAGCATTTTCCTTTGCATAAGCAAGCACACATGTATTTGAGGATATTTTAAGATTTGTGCACAAAATAGGATCATGATGTTTATATTCTCTAATTTGCTTCAATATTATATTTGTTTATTATATCCTAAACAGTACTGGTCTAGAATGTCATGGCCCTCCTAACAAGACCTTTCCCATTGTAGACTGAACTATTGCTTACACAAAAGAAAAGCAACAATACTCCTGTCCTCACATGTCTGTAATTCTGAATGAACCACACTTGGGCTATAGGAACATAATATACAACCAGATGTTTTCATTTTAGCTCTGATGCAAAGGTGAAAGGGTTAAAGTGTTTTAGTGGCCAGAGACATCCTTAAGGATCCAGAGAAAGCTCAACGCCTCCCCTGAAAACTCATGTGTTCATTAAGTTTTGCATTGTCAAAGTTAAGAACTCTCTCTATCTTTTCCCTTTCTTCTTAATTATATGCTTTGTTCCACAAGACTAAGTAGAAGAGAGCTTGCTTCTATAGCCACTAACTTATCTGAGTCTCCTGAAGTATCAGGAGCTGTTCTTCCCTGCTGGGCCCCAACTAAACATTTCTTGGCTTTCATCCACTCTTCCCTACAGACATAGATGAGTAAGTTTCACCACATCCTCAGATCCCTGCTTGACAGGGCTAGTGGAAGCAACTATTACTAACTAAGCTCCATCACCTCCAATGCCAGCTTGCTGAGTGCCCCAAAGCCCTTCTGTCCTCACTTGGTGGCACTAAAAAAAACCCAGGGTGGCCTCTCAGGACTGCACCTTATTAACACCAAACATAGTCAGCACTTGACACTGTTCACTAACTTCAACAACATTCTGCTGCCCTCCTTTTCTTTACTCTTGCCATACCTTCATCTAAATTAGTTAGCTTCCTGGTGCTGGTGGCTCATGCCTGTATTCCTATCCACTGAGGAGACTGAGATCTGGGGATCATGGTTCAAAGCCAACCAGGGCAGGAAAGTCCATGAGACTTCACTTCCAAAATGTAGGTTGTGGCTCAGGTGGTAGGTAGAGCACTAACCTTGAGACAAAAAAAAAACAACAACAACAAAAAAAAAAAAAAAAAACAGCTCAGGGACAGTGCCTGGACCCCTGAGTTCACACCCCAGGATCAGCACCAAAAAGATACTGGATACTGCTGTCTCATATTCCCTCAGTCAGAGCCTTACGCATTAGCATGGATACATGCATTTATATACCCACATATAGCCACACATTAATTAATAAGACTCCTGGGGTACATAAACCAATTGCATTCAGCCATGACTCCTTGTGCTTTTGTGTTCAGGGCTAAGTCAGATTCAGTCACACTCATGCATTTGTAAATCCCTCAGTTTTATTTTGTACACAGAAATGGCTCAATATATCTTTTGTGTTTTTTCAGTGCTAGAACACTGGGATTTGAACTCAGGGCCTTGTGCTTGCTGGGTAAGCCCTCTACTACTTAAACTATACCCCAAGTATCCCACCCTGTTTTTCTTTATTTTTTTAGTGTTTATTTGCATGAATGAACCCTTCTCATACATCTTCTAGTCAAAGTTACACTCTGTACCATCTTCTCTCTTTTTTATTTCTCTATCCCATGTCTCCTCATCTACAACACAGACAAGGCACAGGGCTTAGGCTGAGATGTTATATGGGATAGGTTTGCTCTGCCTCCTCTTTCTATACAGTCAGCATAAAAACACAGCTGATGGTGATGATTTTTATTTTTATTTTTATTTATTTATTTTTTTTGTCAGTCATGGGGATTGAACTCTGGGCCTGGGTGCTTTCCTTCAGCTCTTCAGCTCAAGGTGAGTGCTCTACCACGTGAGCTACAGCAACACTACTGGTTTTCTGGTGGTTTATTGGAGATAAGAGTCTCAAGGACTTGCTGCCTGGGCTGGGCTGGCTTTGAACTGTGATCCTCAGATCTCAGCCTCCTGAGTAGCTAGGATTACAGGCGTGAGCCACCGGCGCCCAGCAAAATGAATGTCCGGGCTTATTTTTTAAATGAATTGTTTTTTGTCTGGGTCTAACCTCAGACTTCGAGCCTCCTATCTCCTCTTTCCAAGTAAGTCAAGTCTTTTTTGTATGTTTGTTTGTTTGTTTGTTTGCCAGTCCTGGGGCTTGAACTCAGGCCTGGGCACTGTCCCTGAGCTTCTTTTTTGCTCAAGGCTAGCACACTACCAATGTGAGCCACAACACCACTTCCAACTTTTTCTGTATATTTGGTACTGAGGAATCAATCCCAGGTCTTCATGAATGCTAGGCAAGCACTCTACCACCGAGCCACATTCCCAGCCGGTCAAGTCATTTTGGTTTACAGATATGGACCATCACTCTCAGCCAAAAAAAATCTTTGTGTAACTGTTTAACCTGCCCCAAAGGAATAATAATGACAACATCAAAATCAGAAATCAGGAAATTGCTATGACCTGAATATTTATGGCCTCCCAAATTCGTATGTTGAAATCCTTACCCCAAAGTTATGGTATTATGATGTAGACCCTTGAGAAGTAGCAAAAGCCCTGAGACAGAGCCCTTTTGAATGAAGTTATATGGGAATGCCCTTATCAAAGAAACCCAAAGGAGACCCCTTCTCCCTTGTGGGGTGAGAATGAAAAAATAACTGGCATTGCAGAAGAGGGCCCTAGCTAGTCATTGAATGTATTGCACTCTGACCATGGACTTCCTAGACTGAGAAATAAATTTCTGTTGCTCGGTCACTAAGCAATAGAAATCTGAGACTATAGGCACCCATTCTATAGTCTTGTTACAACAGCCTGTATGGACTAAGACAGGATTCATAGAACTTTAGAATAGTCCTTCAGTTCTTTCATTCATTAAATAAACCTTGGCTTAGGGGGTTCAAGTGGTAGAGTACCTAAATACCAAGTGAAGCCCTGAATTCAAAACCTTAGTACCACCAGAAAAAAAAATCTTTCCTAAGTTTCTGTTCTGTGCCTCCTACTCTGCACTCCTAGCCCTTAATTTTACAAATGAGAAAGCTGTGGATCACAAAGCTATTTAAATGCTGTCATCCAGGTGATTCAACTCCACTTTCTGGATTATTTATATCCAGCATGCTGAAAAGAAATTCATCTTAAGTCCTAAGTGGTAACTTAAAGCAGATGAGTTTAAAAGGAAGAATTGTCATCAGGAATATAATAGATCAAAGAATAGTCTTCACTACTACAAAGTAGAACAAATTACCTTTGAGAAACATGGTTGCATAGGTAGTAGTGGCTTTCAGTGTTTTTGTTCTGTTGAGTTCTACCAGCAACAAGGTCTTCTACAGGTCCTTAAACTTTTACTTGTAATGGGAAATTCCAAAACACTGAAAACTGTAAGCCCTCATCATCCCTCAAGACACCTTTGGTAACTCCTTTGACAGCAAAATCTGACATTATCTTAAGTCATTTGGCAACACAGTCCATCCTGAACTGACAGGAATAAATTCAGTCTTTTTTTTTTTTTTTGGCAGTCCTGGGACTTGAACTCAGGATCTGAGCACTGTCCCTGAGCTTCTTTTGCTCAAGGCTAGTGCTCTACCACTTGAGCCACAGCACCCCTTCTGGGTTTTTCTGTTTCTGTGGTGCTTAGGGATCAAACCCAGAGCCTCAATGCATGCGAGGCAAGCATTCTACTACTGAGCCACTTTCCCAGCCCCAGCCCTTATTTATCCTGTTTATTCTGAATAGTTTAAAATTTAAACTCTCAGAGCAAGGCATGGTGGTACACACCTGTAATCCCAGCTACTCAGGAGCTGGAGCCAAAATGACCCTGAGTTTGAGGGAGCTCAGGCAAAATTAGTATTACCCTATTTCAAATATAAAATACAATACAAAACAAAAAGATCTAGAGGTATAGCTCAAATGGTACAGCATTTACCTAGCATATGCAAGTCCTGAGATCAGTCCTTAGTACCATTCAGAGTTAGTCTGAGAATTTGACCTGGTGAGGTCACCTCCCTGCCCATTGTGCAGTGGTCAGTGTTTATACTAGGCCTATGGCTGGTCTGTTGGCACAGTAATCTTCCTGAATTATTAGGTATCCATAGCAAGTGATATATGTGGATTTTGGCCACCTATACATGACCTCTAGAGCTGGAGGCGTTGGCTTCAGTTGTAGAGCACCAGCCAATGAGCAAAAGCAAGCATCCAACTCTATACATATTGTCCTTGTATCTTGCTTTAACAAGATACCCATTCTGATGGGAATCTGCTTTGTTCTCGTTATAACAATATGTTGCTCCCTTCTCAGCCCAATTCTTTTTATGTATCCAAAGACCCTATATGAAGGACTTGCCTCTAGGCCCATTCTTTCTTTCTTTTTTTTTGGCGGGGAGGGGTGGGGGTCCGGTCATGGGGCCTGAACTCTGGGCCTGGGCACTGTCCCTCAGCTCTTCAGCTCAAGGCTAGCGCTCTACCACTTGAGCCACAGCACCACTTTTAGCCTTTTTCTTTTTGCTTATGTGGTGCTGAGGAATCGAACCCAGGGCCTCATGCATGCAAGGCAAGCACTCTACCACTGAGCCACCTTCCCAGACCCGAGGCCCATTCTTTCTATGTATCCAAAGATGGAATATGAAGGATTGACTCCCACCCTGTTTCCCCAGGTGCACACAGATGCCAGGCCACCCACCAAAGACAAGTGCAGACTGTCTGACTCCAGCAGGGCAATCTATCTAAGCCTGTCTGTAAACATTCCTTCATGGGCCCAACTGAAAAGCTCCCCACCTCCCTTGACCTGGTGGCTTTTTCATTAACCTCTGCCTCCTTGCTCAGACCTCATAGAAAAACCAAGCACCTGTCCTAACTCTCTCATACAACCACCAAACCCACAGGAAGGTCTGTACCCCTCACTGTTCCTCAATAAACAGTCCTTGCCTGTTGACAATCAAGTCCAGCCTATTCCTTTTCCATTCTCCCCCATTTTCCCAGCATATTCTACCATACATCTACCAATTAATTTATTTCTAATTCATCCTTCTAACTAACACCTATTGATATCAGAGCTTTACTAGTTGATAAAATGGTTTCTTTAGCAACAATTAGAAATATCAAAGTTAAATATAAAATTTCTGAATAATTTAGATTCACCATGCTAAAAAGAAATTAAGATCTAAGCCAGGCGCCGGTGGCTCACACCTGTAATCCTAGCTACTCAGGTGGCTGAGATCTGAGGATCGCAGTTCAAAGCCAGCATGGGCAGGAAAGTCTGTGAAACTCTTATCTCCAATAAACCACCAAAAAACTGAAAGTGGCTCTGTAGCTCAAGTGGTAGAGTGTTCTCCTTGAGCTGAAGAGCTGAGGGATAGCACCCAGGCCCAGAGTTCAAGCCCCACAACTGACAAAAAAAAAAACAAACAGAAGTGGCACATAGCTTAAAGTGGTAGAGTGCTAGCCTTGAGCAAAAGAGCTCAGGGATAGTGCCCAGGCCCTAAGTTCAAGACCCAGGACTGACCAAAAAAAAAAAAAAAAACCCACACAAAACCAAAAAACAAAAGACCCATCCCTCTATTAATGTGTATCTGAAAATTGGTAAATTAATGAGAAATACTATTGTTAGGTAGTGGCACAGGTAACCTTTCCCAGATCGCACCAGCCTTTTATTAAATTAGAGTCATCAGTATCTTTACTCAAAGAAACATTCCTTCCGTTAATAGATACTGATAGAGCAAATATGTGCTTGCCCTTATTCCTCACAAGTCTTACAATCTAGACAGAGATTGGCAAAGGTTTTCTGTATTGCTAGAGAGCAAATATTTAATGCTTTGTGGATTTATGTTTTTATGTTGTATATATAAATATATAAATGTATGTACATTTATGTATATATAAATATACTATGCCTAGCTTAAGGAAATATATTTTGCATACATAAGGCCCTGGGTTTGAGTCCTCAGCACCACATAAGCAGAAAAAATTCCAGAAGTGGCACTTTGGCTCAAGTGGTAGAGCACTAGCCTAGAGCTGAAGAGCTGAGGGACAGCACCAGGCCCAAAGTTCAAGCCCCATGATCAACCAAAAGAAAAGTTTAAGAGAAAAAAAATCATAGGTACATTATAATTAATATAAGTAACATACTTACATCACACACTTCACTGAGTCTTAGACTTGTTTTAACCCACAGAATACCCTATACAATGAATATTATGCTGTCCCTATTCATAGAGGAAGTAACTAAAGCTCAAAAGTGGCTAAATTATTTGCTCTTGAAAGATGTGAAGACATTTTATCTCAAAATAGACAAATTTGCTCATTGATTATTTCTAGTTGATATCACATGGCAAACTGTAAAGGGCCATTTGCCCTTGTGAAGGGTAAAATTTCTCTATTTTATTTCGTTATTTATTTTGGTTGGTCGTAGAGCTTGAACTCTGGGCTTGGGCACTGTCCCTGCACTCTTCAGCTCAAGGCGAGCACTCTACCGCTTGAGCCACAGCGCCACTTCCAAATTTCTTTTTTTTCTATGCACATGAAGCCATAAAGATTCTTTGGGAAGGAGGATCCTTCACAGACCATAAAATAACCTAGCCACCACAGACTGTATAGGGCTCCAGTGAACCTAAACAAGCCAACCATGAAGTAACCTTTATGCTTCACTCCAGTCTACATGCCTCACTCATATATCTCTTAGTAACATTCCTTAGAATGGACTTGCTAATTCAGTTAGTCATCTATCCTGTCATTACTTCCAAAATTTACTATTTCTTTGTG